GGGAAGGACCCCCCACCAATATACTTGGCTCCACCCTTGCATGGTATTAAAAAGCCCCTATTGACAGCAACAACAATGGTACCAAATATTAAAACTGAAAAAACATTTTCTCAGAAGATTGGCATGCCTATACAACACCGTTTTATGAAAAAATGCCTCTCAGAAAATAGCATTGGTTCCAAACATGCCCTAGGTAGCTAGGTCTATAATAAGGACATCTTTGGGCTTCTCGCTCTTGAGCCTAAGCTTATGGGTTGAGAGGAGCACAGGGGCCTCAGACTGCAACAAACTAGGGTTGTCAATGGGTTCGATCTACCTGATAGACCTGAACCATTTTTATCGGTTCTGGTTCCATGATTCATTCCAATGGGTCGGGTCTGGTTTTATTTTATATGTCCCGATTAACATCGATTCAAGACTGGTATGAAAAAATGCCTCCCAGAAAACGGCATTGGTTCCAAACACTTCCCTAGGTAGCTAGGTCTATAATAAGGACATCTTTGGGCTTCTCGCTCTTCAGGCTAGGCTTATGGGGWGAGAGGAGCACAAGGGCCTCAGACTACAACAAACTAGGGTTGTCAACGGGTTGGGTCTACTCGATAGACCCGAACCATATTTATCGGTTCTGGTTCTATGATTCATTATGACGGGTCGGTTTTGGTTTTATTTTGTGTCCCGATTAACATCGGTTCGAGACTGGCTTTGACTACCCCGAACCGATTATATATATATGTTTTAGAGTTATAGGTATGCCTAAATTGTAATTTTACTTTTAACACCTAAAACCCTCGAGCTCAAAACCTTTAGGCCTTTACCCTTTGTTTTGTTTTTTCTGCTTGAGGCTTTAACTTCTAAAGTTCTACTCATCACTTTCTCTTTCTCTGAGAAAGTTTCTCATCACCRTCTCTACGTCTCACCGATTCTCAGTCCCCACCGTCTCCTACACACCAAGCTTTACCATGGGCAAAGAAATAGAGCAGATGGGGTAGAAGAAAAAAAGCTTATCATAGTTTAAATTCCACCCATGTGAACCTGGGACTGAGAGTATCAGATAAATGGACGGCTAGTAAGTGGGCTCTTGCTTAATTGCTGGATATTTCAATTCTTGAATAAAGAGGCAATCTGATTTCAAGATCAGTCGATATATGCAGGTTTGCTTAGTTTTTTCCCATTAGCTTCACTTTAATTGCTATTATTTTGTTTTTAGTAAGGTTAAACTGAAATTATATATTGGAGGCTGTTTACAAATTGATTTTTAGCAAGATTATATAAGTATACCAGGGTTTTTTTTTTGACAAATATCCTACTGATATTCTGATATCAAGCTATTGAACAAAATGTTCATTTCTTATCAAACTAGCATCAAGTAAGTTCTTTTTTCTGCAGTATTCACTAGTAATATTAATTAATTAATATAAATTTTTATTAATATAGAATATTTTATCAAAAACTACAGGTCTTAGCATCTCAAGTGTGAGTTTTTATTTAATCGGGTCCAATCAGGTTAGACCCAATTATTCTGATTGGTTGAGTTAATTCAGTTACGGCATTATCGGTTTTGGCAGTCGATTCAAAACGGTTTTAGCCTGTCACGAACCAGACTTGAACCAACGTTTTAAAAAATGACCTGGAATTGGAACCATTCTGGCCACTGGTTTTTGGGTCAGCGGTTCGAGCGTCCGTTTCGAACGGACGGCCCATTTTGACAGCAAAATTAATAAATAGTTAAAAAATAAAAAATGGTCAAAAACCATAGAACGGATCGACAGTTTGACTGCCCGGGTCAACAGTTTGTTGACTTTTTCAACGATTTTTTACTATATTCCAAATTTAGGGTAAAACGGAACCGATTGCCTGGACTGTTCCCAGGCCGAAYGGTCCAACCGTCCGAATCAACAGCCGTTCAAAAACGTTGACTTGAACCGTTGACAGTCCTACAACAAACAACACAGATAATCGCAAAAGTTGGGCCTACTTAATTTTGCTATATAAATAGAAGTATAAAGTTTTAGTGGAGACTGAATTAACTTTTGATGTTCATTATCTATGGATGGCGCCTGTAATAGAGTATATTTCTTTTTCTTTGTGAATCTTAACATAGTTTATTTATTAAAAGAAAATAAAAAATACTAAGGCCCTTAAAATTCTAATCCCACAGGCCAATATGTGTGGGGTGAGAGTGGTAATTGCCTAATTAGATGAAGCCATAGCCCATATCTTCAACGAGTTGTAGTATTTGTATCCTCATTATTATTAAAGATAAAGATGATAGTCTTGGCTTAATCATGAGTAGAGCTTTTTCTCTTTGCTCCTTAATCCAAGTGCCATGGCTTTTAAATTTGGCCTCCTAATAAACCAAGACTTTTTATCAGATAAAACAAATCATTAATTATCAATTCTCTCTCTCGGAAATATCCAACCCTCTTTGGCGTATCCATCTTTTATATATTAGCCTTCTGAAAAGGACTTTTGAACAAATTCAGATCTAGGAATTGTATCCGATAAATTCAATTTTCAGCTAAAATTTAAGATTTAGGGTTAGGATTTAAAGATTAAGTAGTTTAGGCCTGAAAATTAAGGATTTTTATACAAAAATGAAGAAGCGGGCGAATAAAAGTGTACAACCATGTTGGGAGTGAGTATGTGTTCATCTGAATATGGTTGCATGAAATTTGCCTTCCTCCAACCCGTGTATACTTAGGAGTTGAAAAAACAAACTTAAAAAGTTAATTAATTAAGAGGATGGGTCCTTATAGGTTGGAGTAACAWGGACCCAATAGCCACTGGCTGAAAATATAGGTTTACATCATCAGAGATATTGGAAGTCACCAGCTATTTTGTTTTAGTAGGATCAATGTTGAATATGTAATATACAACCTCCCTAGACGATGGATGAATCTTAAACTCGGTAAACTAGTTCGGAGCTTAAAAATGGTTGGCTGTAGCAAGGTGTCAATCAACTGGTTGGCATGGTATTTGCTGATTGTAGCAGAGATTTGAGATCAAATTCCACTTGCACCAGGGTTGGGGGTGTATAGGTTTGGGGATGGGCTACCCCCGTTGTGTAAGGGGCTATGCAATCATGTAATGAATCTTGAGCCTAAAGGATTGAACTTGAGGCCAAACTAGTAGGTCTCTTATTCAAGGCTGGCCAAACGAATACTTGAATCTTAACGCAACGGAGATGATGAGGATTGAACACCAAATTAATTGATTAAATTGTGAAACTGTTAGATGAATCTCAATATAGGTTTTTATTTTCTAACAATGGGAAATCAAATCAAATGAGTTCTTTTGAAACTATTTGTAAAATTAAGATTTGTTTTAGAATATAAATTCTGCCGTTTGTTTTGACTATTTATTTGTCACACTCCTGGAATGGATGAACCCCATTTGAAGTCTCAATTTTTTTTTAGTTTTAGTAACTTTTTGGCCTTATACGGGAACGGGATTTGCTCCTCACACTGGGTACCTTATAAGAACATCCAACGTGTATTGGAAACATCTCTGATGAATAATAATTTATAAATATGGAAATTATTACTAATGCATGATAAGATGTGCCTSTAAGGCGCAAGTGAGATGCCCTGTGTAAGGAGCAGATCCGGCCTCCCTTTTACTTATAAAAAAATAAATTAAAAGAACAACCCTTTTGAAAATAGTCAAGAGGAGCACGTGTATAAACCATTTTGCATAGCTGGACACATGCATGGATCACCTAGCCATACATGTCATGTACGTAATCAAGGTGAAATTTTATATTTAATTTTAATTTTTTTTAATATTAGCAGCAGTTTGTTGTCAAAAACTCCAATGGAATTCTGAATGGGGTTCATTCAATATATATGCATGATCCAAACCAATGTAGCATATCAAAGGTTACAAATGGATTAGGTCATATGTGGGGTCATGAATAATTCCCCTCTCTATTTTATTTTTTGGTATGAACCCTTCTTTTCTATTTCCACCCCAATCCAGTGGTCAAAACTCCAAACCTTTTTGGATTCATCAAATCGCTGAAACAGTTTTCCCCCATCATCGCCTTCTAAAGGCATACAGTAGTAAATGGAGAGAGAGGGCTGGTGAAGTAGGGGAAAGAAAGAAGGTGAAAACTAAAAGGCTCCGTGAAAGAGGGGGGAAAAGAAAAAATGCCTTGAGGTCTCATCTCACAAGCTTGAGGCCTTTACAGAGGCGGTGCAATTTGGGGAAAGAAGGTTAAAACTAAAAGCATCCGTAAAAAAGAGGGGGTGAAAAGGAAAAAAAGTCTCCCATCTGAAACCTATCGTTATTGATCTTGTTGTTTTTCGCCCTTGCTTTTTTAAAAAAACAATAAAAAACAATAAAAGTTTTCCTTCTAACAACGTCTCGTCACCCACCCAGACACGGAGCCGTTGCCTGTCACCGGCCGACCCCTCCCTCAGCATCTTCCACATATGAGAGATCAACCACCCGATCGATGTGCTTATACCATGCGTTGTGACTACCATGACGATTCCCCGGTGCAACGCCACCACCATGAGATGAGGATATTTCATCCATACCGCTGAAGTGCTGATTTCTCTTTCAAGGAGAAGGCCCGGAAGAGGGAAGGAGGAATTTACGGCTATGGAGTTTGGATCGGTAATGCTGCTGGAAACCCTTCGATCCCACCTGAAAATGGAAACCCAGATGTCCGTGCTATWGTTTCATGGTTTTGGGTTGTGGTTTTTGCCGGTGGAAGAAAACTAGCCGTCTGTACGAAGTTTCCCACTATTCCTTCCCTATTTTCCTTTTCTCCTTTTCGTTCTTTCTTTTTTTTTTTTTCATCCTTTATTTGCTTAGGGTTTCGGTCTCTCGTTTTGTTCGACTGGGTTGGTTGAGAAATGGAGGGTTATAATCAGCTGAACCACAACAGTACAAGGGGAAGTTTTGTATATACCTCTCCGGTTCTTGCACCCAATTCCTCTCTCTATGGAAGAACAAGCAGTGGGTCTAATGTCAATCGTAATCAGCAGATCCAGGTTCCAGTCAACTCCTTTCATCCTGAATCAGGTGAGTGTTATCCCTCTGAAGCACCACCTATCGTCAAGACCGAAGCAAGCTCCTCCCAACAAATTCAAGAATTTCGGTACCCTTTAGTTAGAGGAGGACAGCAAACCGTACAGCATCATCAACAAGAACAACGAGGGAATGGGAGCTCAAGCGAGGTTGATGTCATTAAGGCTAAGATCATCGCCCACCCTCAGTATTCCGACCTTTTGGAAGCTTACATGGAATGCCAGAAGGTACATACAAGTGGGGCGAATTGCAAAAGAGAAGAACTTCATTTTAAAGATGTGGGCTTTCTTTCATTAATCTCTCTCTTGTTGTTATAATGCAAAAACAGGTCGGAGCTCCACCTGAAGTAGTTGCCCGGCTCGCGGCCTTTCGCCGGGACTTGGAGACGCGGCAGCGATTTCCAATCACTTGCAGAGATGTTTCTACAGATCCTGAGCTAGATCAATTCATGGTATGTTATAATGTTTAATATAATGAAAAACGCATGATTGAAGTAGTTTCTTTGTTCTTCTTTATCATCATCTTCTTCTCTTCTTTGTAGTTGATGTAATCTATTGGGTTCAAGATATAAGTTTTTGGTTTCTGGGTTATGAAAAATTTGCTCATTTATTTCTTTAAAATTCTGATTCGAAATGATAGGAAGCTTACTACGATATACTAGTAAAATATCGAGAGGAGCTAACCAGACCTTTACAAGAAGCGATGGAGTTCATGCGAAGGATCGAAGCCCAGCTTAACACGCTAAGTCATGGGCCCGTACGGATCTTCTCTGCAGGTACTCTCCCAGTCTTTTTCTTCCCCATCCCATTAAACCAAACACGTCCAAGTCAAGATTGAAGAAGCCAAAAGAAACCCATTAGAGAGAGGGAGAGAGAGTGTCCCGAGTCCCAACATCGGCATTGTTTAACGTGGAAAGGAAATATGTTTGAGTTTTTGAGATGCAAAGTGTTGCCATTGGGTGTTGGCTTGATTACCCCAACCCAAGGTCATGTATACTGCAAATTGGAGGGAAGCGTACGGATACGGTCCTGCGAGCTGCAGAGTGTAGACCAGTCATTGCGTCTGTATTTTTCTCGTTACCACCCCCCGTATCCAGCGAGGAAAGTTTGATTAAATTATAAATGTGTTTGCGTGTGTAATGAGTTGGTAATTGGAGAAAAAGAACTCTGTGTGACCCCATTGGAACTCAACTGAAGATACTCATTCTCCTTGTGACCTACGGAGAGAGAGAGAGAGCGAGAGCGAGAGCGAGAGAGAGCTAGAGCTGGTGACGGGGGTAATAACTAATAAGTGATTTCGTTCGTTTCTGTTCCTTGAAAATAGTGCGAAAGCAAACATTCATCTCTATTAGTAATAGATTAGCTGTTCGGTGCTGAGTCTTCTCACTTTCTTGTTCATCTCTCTCTCTCTCCCTCTATATATATATTATATATTCTTGAGTATGTGCAACTGTCTATCTATAGTTAGAGGGATAGTTTATACATCGAGAAGGGTGGCATCATGATTGTCGTCATTTCCCGAGTTGTTGTTTCTTGTGTTTTTTAAATTAGTTTGCTTTTAGATTATTATAAACGAAGAACATCGGATGCTGTTCATATCAGTGCTTGCTCCGTGTAACTGGTACGACAATGTCAGGATTCTTTCCAGATTAAATTCTCTCTTTCTTTCTTATTTATTATTTTATAATTAATCATGCTAATATATTCTTAATCTCTTTTTCTTCCCAATAGAGAGAATGTTGCCGTGGTTATTGTCCATTTCTTAATATTTGAATAGTTGTTTATATATATATATATATATGCAGTGCAAGTAATATATGTTTATTGTGTGCTCGGGGACGTACTTCTCAAAATGCTAGAACTAGATTATGATACAGTGGTGCATTTAGCTAATCTACCTTGGGTTTCTACATTTTGATACAGTTACCWATTCAACCCTACACAAGTAAATAACAAGGAGAGGCCGTTTTAATATTATCTCTTGCTTTCGTTTTAATTTTTGGTGATAGGATACCTCGTTTCTTCTAAAAAAACCTCGATTCTTCTCACTAAGCAAAACTTGACACTTTATTGAAGTTCGACTTTTTACTAGTAAGGAGTTCTGAATTTGTTTTGCTCTACTGGTTTTTCGTTGGCTGATTTAATGGTGTTTCATTTCTTCCGCTTTGTGGTCATTGAGCATGCATATGTATCATTGATTGACACATATGGATTTACCTTAATCCAACATGTGAACACAACTTGAACACGACACGAATTTACTGGGTATGGATTTACCTTAATCAAGTTCATGTTAAAATCCTACGATTAATAAATATGTCATTTTCAGGTCGACTTTATGACCGGAAGTTTCAAGTATTAGATCATGTATGTGTATTTGGATGAATATTATTATGGTTGGTAAGGATGGTATTGTTTAGGTAATTAATGAATGAATGAATTTTTATTTAATTATTTATATCTATTTTTTTTTAATTTAAATAGGTTAATTGCATTAAATTAAGTTACATGTGTAGTGTCAAGTTACTTGTGCAATAAATAGGCCATGTTCATGTTTGAAAATTTGACACGATTAATTAATCATGTTGTGCTCATGTTGACCCATATATCCAAATACCCCTATTTCAATAAGATACAAGAACACGAATTTCCACCCCTACTCCTACTCATCAGTCCATGCTTGATCAGTAGTTGCTTTTGCATTGAAGGGAGCGTTCTTTTTCTAGGTTTCGAGGGGGGGGGGGAATTTGGTCAATGGGATTTTGATTCCAATTGACCAAGAATCTCATGTTCTTTTTTCAGATTTATGTAGGGAACAGGGAAAGTTTATTTTCTTGGGTAGGTAAGTGATACCCATCTCCTATGTGGGTAAATAATTTTCCCATCTTTGGGGAAAGTTGCCAATGAATGGGACAAAGATGGCCCTTGTAATAATGGATTTTTATGGCTAAAGTGGCCATTGCCTTATTTACATGGGAAATAAAAAAAACATGGGTAAATGCATTTACCTGGATAACTCTTTCATAGAAAACACTTACCTAGGTAAGTACATTTACCCGGATAAATAACTTACCAAAAAGTGAATGGGGCCTAAATGATTTTATTTATGTGTCATTTCCCAAATTAGTTTGGTCAAAGCTTGGGGGTCATGATAGCTTTGAAGGCCATATTTCTTTTACATGGAAAATAAAAATACATGGGTAAATGCACTTACCTGGATAACTCTTTCGTAGAAAGCATTTACCTGGGTAAGTACATTTACCCGGATAAATAACTTACCGAAAAATGAATGTGGCCTAAATGATTTTATTTATGTGTCATTTCCCATATTAGTTTGGTCAAAGCTTGGGGGTCATGATAGCTTTGAAGGCCATATTTCTTAAATTGTTCATTATCAGGTCTAGAACTTCAGCATTACAAGAAAGTTAGCAATTTGAAATAATCAGTTCATTTTATTTCTTAAATTGATTTGTAGTGTTACAGTTATACAGATTGGTTGCACTAAAAAATAAGAGAAAATCATAGAAAAGGACAAGATAAAAAACACAAGTATTGTTCATGAGCAACAACAAATTTCCCCAATTTAAACATGCATTATTTTCAATCATTCCTGGCCATTATTTTCAACAGTTGCATGACAGACCACCTCCCTGAACAACTGATCTAAAATGTAAATGAAACCTAGTAATAAATCTGGGCTTTGATGCGATTTATTTGTCTGTAAGTCGAATTTGAGGATTGATGGCAATGCAAAAATAGAGAAAGAGAATAAAATGTAACAAAGCACAAAATACAAGCATTTTAATGGGAATGCTTAGTATCTTTTTTTTTTTGATCAATAATACTTTCATTAACTCATCAAAAGAAGATTTACAATAGGAAGACAAACACGTTTATCTTCCAAGAGCAACAAAGAACCTCAAGAAAAAAWAAATAAATAAAGAAAACACACTATAGTTACAATTGATATAGGCATGTATAGATGTAACAAAGCACAAAATACAAGCATTTTAATGGGAATGCTTAGTATCTTTTTTTTTTTTGATCAATAATACTTTCATTAACTCATCAAAAGAAGATTTACAATAGGAAGACAAACACGTTTATCTTCCAAGAGCAACAAAGAACCTCAAGAAAAAATAAATAAATAAAGAAAACACACTATAGTTACAATTGATATAGGCATGTATAGATGTACAAAGGACCACTTCCTTGACCAACAATAAAAAACACAAAAGCTTTTATCTTAAGTCCAAAATGGTATTCATTTCTATTTAGAACTCATGTAAGTTGTTTGGTATTCAAGGCATGATCTAAACATAAATGAAAAGGCTGAATTTTGTGAAATGACACAAGATCAAAATTAAATGATTGTACCAAAGGAAGAAAATACAACTCCTGAGATATGTTGCAGTATTTACCCATAACCACAACATTTTTTTTGCCCCAAATTAATTTTACTCCCATTGTACCGGTGGCCACGGTAATTTTGTCCATAGGTTTTCTTGATCAATAATTAAAGATGCAAAGAATTACAATTAATGTTTCTAAAACATTATTTGAACTATCTTTATAAGATTGACCTGACCTACGATAATCTCCCCTCCCACCCATATCTCTCTGTTGTAACACTTTTTTTGTACATCATCAATCCACCCGAGAAAATTTTGCATATCCTTCTTTCCGTTCCCAAGATGAAGTCCTTTGTTGTGTAATTAAAGCAGTTGAGCCTGAGTTGGGGATTTATGGGGGCATTTCTGGTTTGGCCTTTGAATTAGTTTCGGTCCTTGCCTTATTTGCATATTGGTCTGTGGGTTGCTCCAAATGAACTTCTTGATTGCCATTTAAGGTTTCTCTTACATAAACCGGTGCAACAATTTTCCTGTCTGTTTGAATGAACTTGGTCGAATTATTTGGTTATCTTCTTCTCTTTAATCTCCTTTTCATATGTTGGATAGTAAAGTGAAGTGGCATGAATTGCATGTGACTGGTGGATGAATTATTGGTGATTATTTGGTCATCCTTCTGGATTGTAGCAATCAGCTTCAAATTGGTAWATCTCATTTTTGGCCCGAGTCACCCGCCTATCCTACTATTCATTTCCCTTCTGCAGAAGCTTAAATATGTGTAAATAATGAAAGAAATGGGCAAAATTATACCTTTTATTTTTAATCCTTGGCGATGTTTTAAAAAATGACCCGGAAACGGAACCGTTTTGGTCATCGGTTTTCAGGTCAATGGTCCGACCATCCGGTTTGAACGGATGGTTCGTTCTGACAGGAAAATTTAAAAAATAAAATAAAAAAATGGTCAAAAACTGTTGAACGGGTCGACGGTTCAATAGTTCAACCACCCGGGTCAACGTTTTATTGACTTTTTCAACGGTTTTTTACCAGATTCTGAGTTTATGCAAAAACGGAACCGATTGCCTGAATAGTTCCTAGGCCGAACGGTCCGACCGTCCAAATCAATGGCGGTTTATATAAAGTGGATATCACTTGAAAAACTATATGGTGAAAAATTACAAATCATGTCACTCTGCTCATGGTGCCCTTGGTTGTTCAAGGTTTTTGCAGAACCTGGGTGAATAGCGAGTTGATTGCTAGTCTGAAAATTGAGAGACTGCCTCTAAAACCTGCTTTCCCACCAGTAACTGAGGTTTCTGTAAAATTTGGGCCAGTGTTTTCGAACTGCCGTTGATTCGGACGGTCGGATCGTTCGGCCTGGGAACCATCCAGGCAATCGGTTTCGTTTTTGCATAAACCCGGAATCTGGTAAAAAATCGTTGAAAAAGTCAACAAAGTGTTGACCCGGGCGGTTGAACCGTCGACCCGTTCAACGGTTTTTGACCATTTTTTTTATTTTTTAATTATTATTTTTTATTTTTTGAAATTTTCTATCAAAACGAACCGTCTATTCAAACCAACAGTTAGACCGTTGACTCGAAAACCAGTGACCAAAACGATTCCATTTTTGGGTAGTTTATTAAAACATTGATTGGGGTCACTAATCACTTTGGGGTTCTTTGTGAATAATGAGTTTATCCAATCTTAGTCTAAAATTTGGGATCCCTTCTAGTTATCATGTCTCAGGCCTGAAGCATAAGCCCAGGTTGAGCTGGGTGTGAGGCTCGGCTTATGAATTTTTTGTATAAAATATTAAATTCATATAAAATTTTATACGTTCATATAATATGAAATGTTATACATGCATTATATGCATCAGATTATAATATTCATATATGTATAAATAATATTATGTAAATATGTGGCATTAGATCAGACTTGGGCCAGCCAGAAAAGTTGTGGGTCTAGGCTCTCCAGGCCAGGCTGAAAATGATCACCACAATTGGTAGTATCTATTCTCCATTCGTGGTCTGTCTTACAGCTATGGAGTAGTTGAGATTTGTTATTCATATGTTTTTTGGGGCTAATAAGTCAATTGGTAGGATCTATTTCTTCATTTGTGGTCTTTGTTTTACAGCACCGGAATAGTTGAAATTTGTTATTCATATGTTTTTTGGGGATAATGAGTCAATTTGTAGGATCTATTTCTCCATTTGTGGTCTTTTTCTTACAGCTATGGAATAGTTGAAAGGAAATCATTCCTTGATCATTTTCAATTTGATTTTGGGCTGTAGCTAGGGTGAAGGCAGCGTGGGATTTATGGTGAGGTTCTAGGACCTTTTTACCTTATAAACTGTTTTTCTTTTTGAAGTGAAGGTGGTTTAATGATTGCATTTAGGGATGTCATTGGGTCGGTTTAAGTTGTAAACTTGCATTGTCCTAACCCTATTGAGTTAAGGGTCTGGTCAGCCTTAGGTTGGATTTTGAGTGCAGTACTGGTTTTTGGTGTGTACCAGAAGCTAGTTATAGTTTACCAGACCAATAAAGTGGAGCATAATAGTTTCCCAGCCTTAGGTTGTAAACACTGCTTGCATTGTTTGTTCCTGGTGGGACAATGGCCCAAGCCCTGACAGTTATGCCTTTGTCCAATGACTGGGATAGCATCAAGGCAATCGTCACACCAAGGAAAGTTTGCATCCAGATACCTACCATATATTGATAGACAACTTGAAAAGTCTTCTTCATTCAAAGATAATTCGTAAGAAGGAAGGTTTCATGTTGAAGAGGGGGATTGTGGTGGGTAGAGGATAGTGTCTCTACTTGGGACGTTACTGCTAGATCAAGAGCGCAGTGCAGATGCCTCAGGTGCCTTATAACCTAGGGTTGATGGTGGAGGAAGAAGGAGTACTTCTTGCATTTGCTACAGTTAAATATCAAATGATGGAGCAATGATATTCATTGGAGGGGCAAGGGACAGAGTTGGAGCCTGATCCTATTGGGCTTCAAGTGAACGAGGATATTCAAACAGGGAAAATTTTGGGTCTGTTTTTCTTAGGAGGTAAAGAACATGCTGGGGAGATATTTCAAAGCATAGAACAAGAGTCTCACAATAAGAGCTTCTACGATGTCACATCAGGATCTAGAGGAGCAAGATGGGAATGTGTCTCTGTTACTAAAGCTGAAGAAAGCTTCAGATTCAGCAGGCTCCCCAAGAGTCGGAAACTAAAGAAACTAATGGATCTGTATGTGGATGGTGTGTTCCAAGCAGGGCCCAAGAGATCTAAAAGGAGGGCTATGGTAGAGGTGCTGAGATGACATTTTGTGGTTTGGATTTGGTATAGTCTCATGCTGAGGTGTTTTTTGTTCCTGGGAGACTGGATTTAGGGTTCGCCTCTAGAGGGTGTCGCATTAGTTGGTAATGTGCTGGTGGCTAGGCTGGGTTGTTTTGAGGTGCAAGCTTCATGTTTTGATTGTATAGCTTCTTTTGGAGCTTGGGGTTGTTGGTCTAGGTTTTATTTTGGATTGCCCCCTTGTAGGCTTTTGTCATACAAGATTACTTTCTTATGTGTTAATCTTACAATTACCTGATTGTATAATTCCCTTTGCATTAATGCTGATGTGTTTAAATTTTAAAATGTCCTTTTTCTTCAATTCTTTCTAGGTAAATTTATTTGGCAAACCTGTAACCAAATTTTGTATTCTGATAAATAGGGAGTAATTTGTTTACTGCTAGAATACAACATAACTGGTAAATTCAGGTGCTCAGAATAGTTTTTTTTTTTTTTTGTTGGAGATCCATTCGACTTGATGCTTTTGACTTGGTTTAAAGATGTTTATCTACCTGGGTTTTGCTCTGTTATTATGATTTATATATGCATACTGTTCAACTTGACAAATGCAGATAAGTTTGAAGAAGTTGGTTCCTCTGAAGAGGATCAAGGCAATAGTGGAGGTGAAATGGAACTCCCAGAGGTCGACCCACGTGCTGAAGAGAGAGAACTTAAAAGTCACTTATTGAGGAAGTATAGTGGCTACTTAAGTAGCCTCAGGCATGAGCTTTCCAAGAAAAAGAAGAAAGGGAAACTGCCAAAAGAAGCCAGACAGAAGCTACTCAATTGGTGGGAGCTACACTACAAATGGCCATATCCATCAGTAAGTAACTGTCTATGCTCTAGAATTGCATTGTCAGTATTTTGTAATGTGATTATGTAAGAGTTGCCTAAGTTAATTTCTTTCAAGGAAAATATGTTAGACATCAAAAAAAAAAAATGGGGGACAGGTATGATGGGTCATGATGGGGAAGGACTCTAAATGACCCAGGAATATTCCACCACATAGTAGCTTATGTTGGGAAATAAAAGGACACCAAACTCCTCTCTCCATCCTTAATAATGTGATAAACATAAACTTGAAAGAGTTAAAACCATATTTCCCTGAATAAAACTTTTTAATGTTTGTGTATTCACTGAAAACTCCAATGCAAGTTCTGGTCTTTGGACTCACCCATACTCTGAGCAGTAGTAAGCACATGGCCAGCCTACACTGTTTCATATGTGAATGAGGATGGTCTCGATTCCTTCACATGCCTGGAGTAATTGTGGTGGTCTACCGGGTTCCCATGATTGAACAAATTAGGGAAGTTTTTCCAATAAAATTTATTAATGTACCAGTACATCTTCGTACCTTCTTTTGGTTATAGCCCCTTGGGTTTACCTATTAACTTACTCCTACCCATTATAATTTAGGGCTTATTTATTCCAACCCTCCACTTACATTACATGTATGCCATGGTTCCAGAGATGGAGTGGGAAGTAATAAGTAGAAGTAGTTTACCCTTTTTCTTTATCTGGTGAAGGATAAATATTTGTGAAAATGTGGCTGACACAGGAGACGGAGAAGGTGGCCTTGGCAGAATCAACTGGTTTAGACCAGAAACAAATAAATAACTGGTTCATAAACCAGAGGAAGCGGCATTGGAAACCTTCGGAAGATATGCAATTTGTTGTTTTGGATGGGCTCCATCCCCAGAATGCCGCATTATACTTGGAAGGTCACTTTATGAGTGATGGGTCTTACCGTCTGGGTCCATGACCATAAAGGGATGGTTGGTTACTTATCACCATCTGTGGCAGAGCAGGAAAGATGAATTCTTGCCATGTGATTGTTTTGTTGCAACATTTTGTTTTGGTCATCTCCTCCTTGTATGCTCAATATTTATTTATTGTTAGAATTGTTTTCATTGTGGTGTCAATATATATATATGTTCGGAGTTTGACATGAGTATCTATCTCTATCTCTATTCCTGGGTTAGTTTCGGATTTGATGATAGTGTCGTTCACATTGAATTGTGAGGCTTTCGAGTTCTGAAGCTCTTCCACTTTACGTTTGCCAATGTTTCGTATAATTTGGGGCATCTAGAATTGCATGTGGGTCATTCCGTATAATGGCGAAAATTCCAGTTTTTAGTTAAAGAAAGCCTAATAAATTGAGACAGGCCACTCTGTCTCTGGGCTGAAAGTGGAAACTGGATCTCCCTGTGGGTGGAAACCGGATAACGTTAATGTATCAACGGACCAAGAAGTTAGGCCTTTGGRGCTGAATTAATGGACTTTAGTTTGGTCTGGACTCTGGAGTGCTTTCGGCAGACGGGCAGCCTCAATAAAATTCATCATTGAACTTGGGTCTGGCTGGCTGGGATCCATARAAAGAGAAGTGAAATCAAGCTGTGATACCAAAACAAATCTTACACATGATATGGTCAACATAATTCCATCTTCTAGTGAAGTGAACCAAGTGCGAAAACGGAATTCATTCGCATTTCTAAGATGTCAATTTGAACAGATTGGACGGACCAATAAGACATTGAATTGGAAAAGTCCAGACTTAATGATACAAAGTATTGGGCCTGGTCCATCTATAATACACTCATACTGGACCGGATGGGATTGGACCAAGTGCAGTCCAATTGATTTCCTACACAAAAGCATGCATGTGTTTGGACAAGGGTTTGAGTAGGAGTGATATTGGTTTGAGTAGGATGTCCAATTGATATCCAACATTGCCTCTATGAGAATTTGTGCATTTTTCTTGTGGAGGAATGCCAGGCTACAGGAAGATAAAAAATCTCTTGGATGTGTTAATTAAGAGGGAGGGGTAGAGGGGGCAGAGTTTGATTTTTTTTTTTTTTTGAAAATCTGGTTTTCATAAGGGATTAATGGGGAAAATTCCAATGCCTAAATTTAGATGGAGTTTGATTTTTTGTTTTTGGAAATCTGGTTTTCATATGGAGCTGATGTTTTGTCAAACAGGGGGAATTTATTCTTTACAAAATGGAGCTATTGTAGCTGAACTAAAGTCTATATAGTCACCTCTTCTTTTTCGCTCGTGATCAGGGATGGAGTTCAGTTCTTGTGCAGGACTCCTGATCAATGCTATTAAAACTCTGTTGCTACTCTATTTGCTTTGGCCATGCTAGCTATAGCTTGTTGGATAATTTTTTTAACTGTGTAGAAATATGAATCAAGTCCTTTTCTTATCTAAAAAAAAACATTTTCATAGGGAAGTTAATTACACTAAGAACCTCGTATCAGAAGTTACATAGTTGCAGGTTCATCCTGAATCGTTGGTTGGTCGCTGATGTACTGAATGAACAATTGCCTTTTCACTGTGGTTTAATATAGTTTTTTGATCTACCAAAAGTTAATAAGAGAATTTGTGCAAATTACAAGCCAACTGAACTGATTACCTTCCAAATATGATGACCAAATGCTCCCCAAATACTGTAAAACTAAAGAATTAAGAGACTTTTTTTAATTTAATGGTAGATTACAAAAGCTATTGTTGGAATGGTCAATTACATGAAAAAATACATCTGCACAYATGTTTTGAAAAATACTTTTTCTCTTATTAAAATCAGTTTTTAACTTATTTACACTCCTTAGATATTCTTGAAAAATTACAAGAATAGTTTTGGGTTTTTAATAACAACCTATTTACACTCCTTAGATATAAAGAAGAGAGTATAGAGGCTTGTTATTGCGCAATGTGCATGCGCGTGTGTGTGCGACGCTATGAGGTGCTTTATAAGTGCACTTTGCTCGGTAACAGTCATTAATTGTTAATTACCTTTTGAAATTGTGACACTGTTCAAGGAGCCTTTTCTTAGCACAGTTTCGAAAATCACTTTGTCCCTCTCTCTCTCTCTCTCTCTCTCTCTCTCTCTCTCTCTCTCTCTCTCTTTCTCGTTCTCAATCCAGTTTGCTATTGTTTCACAGAAGGTTTTTTTGGAGACTCTTCAACTTTGTTGGTTACAGATTCTCACCCAAGGTTCTGTTGTATCTTGGGAACGGATTTGCCTGTAACCCAACAACAAATTCAGTGAAACTGAGTGGGGGCAAAAAAATGTTCTAAAGACAGTATCTTCAGACACGCCTCAGAGCTTCTCCTCCAAGTTTCAGTGACCCCTTTTCCTAACAGTTATAAATAGAGCAAAACTAGTACTAGAGATCAAGGTTCAAAATATCGATATGTCGGTATGGGCATATTGGGCGAATCGATACAGTTTTTTATGCATTTTTTTATTTTTTTTCGCAACCAGCTCAGGGGGTGGAGGGGGCCAGTTTAGGGCTCCTCCMCCCCCTGAACCGGCCAGACCCCYAATACACTCACTGTTGGGGCGTATCAGAGGGGTCCCGGAACGATACGTATCAGCTGATACGAGTTGATACATATCAATACTTTGAACCTTGCTAGAGATAGACTGATCATAACTAACCTCATCCAATAGAAGTTTTGACCAATCAAACCCCACCCATGAATTTTGATAAATAACACTTAATTGGCTACCACATTTATGATTCCAATTGACTGTCAGAAGTTTTTTAAATATCATATCTTTTCTGTATCATAGTCGAACTCATCCAAATTAGAGTGATATAGAATAGTAACGTACACACCTTATTACGATATAATTCTTTAGCAAATACAAACAGGTTCTCCATACATATAGCTTGGCACTCCCAAAACCCCAAGCATGATTTTCTATAGTCGTAGCGGTGACTCCAAAGTCAAAGTGGAATAATGGATACATCACGTTGTATCAACTGTTTGAATACACGGCAATAGCCTCTGTGGCTCAAGTTGAATTATTTGACTCTTCTCTAACCTGATGAAGTGATTTCTGCCCATAACTCAACTCTGATTAATATCTTTAAAATATTACTGAAAGTCCAAAAACTGTGTTTTCAACCTTTGTTTCCTTGTCAGTCGGGTCACAATCCAATAGTCTGAACAGTTCAGTGGATTATCTGATTTTTGTATTATTTCTTTTTTTTTTATTTTGTATTAATAGCATTATAGGTTGAGCTGTTGATCTAGAGGTGATCCATTGACCCGAGAAGGGAAAACGGTTCAACCTCGCAGCCAGCTTTTAAAATACTTAAACACAAGAATAACTGTGCTGGCCTGAGTGTTTATAAACTTGATAGTCCACAACCACAAGCAATTGAGACACCAGCTCCGGAGGGTCCAGTGACAATTGGCCCAACAAACGCTCAATTTTTTCGAAATTTGAATTTGGAGTAGACGAGCACTCATGAGCCCAGCTGTTGTGGATTTCCATGGCCGCCAATTTCTCTTCCTTCAGGTGGGCCTTCGGCCCAGGTTTCTCCTACTTTGTCTTTGCAAGTCTCTCAGTCCCAATTGGTGGTCTCTCTGGTCTCAATTTGGGAAAGAACGAAGGAGACTTTGGGTCCAAAAAGGGACAAAGCAGAGAAGACCATAGACTACAACTTGAAGCTCCTTTAGATATAGCGTGGTGTTTATAAGGTGGCATGTCAAACAGTGTTTTGCAAACGTGTGTACAATAAAGAGTTTACTTCTGTAATACGAAAAGAGAGTGAGAAAGCAAGTTTGTCTTTGGATTTCTGCTTCTTCTTGTGATGTTTGTAGGGTACGTGGTATTGAAATAACCAGTGATTCTAATTGGGGGATGGTAATAATATCCATAGGGACAAGTGTACCGAGGTGGAATCTACCTAGCTAGAGGGGATGAATCGGCTACTCATGCTGACCCTTTTAGTGTGGAGCAAAGAGTGGCTCAAGATGTTCAAATGAGGAAAAGTTTGTGTTTAAGCTTCATTTGGTGGAGGAAGAGGATGAACGGAAGCTCTTCTTGAGCTGGAAAATCAGTACCCCATGTTAGAGTAGATGGTTTGACAGAAGAAATTAAAGGGTGTTTAATTTGAGGATGCATATGGGGTTAATTCCAATGTAATGTTGATAGTGATGACTTCGCCAACCATCTTGGTGGCATCCTGGATTTTAGAAACACAAATTGATGTAGCGCGATTTGATTTTTCTTTGCTGGAGGATGATCTGTCTTCCAGTCGGGTGGCGAGTTACGTGAATCTGTAAGAAAGGATCAGAGAATTCAGGGTGACTAACCCGGCGAGGTCGCTCCGCTGCTTAAGTCAGTAAACTGACGCGAGTTGAAAAGCTTTGAGAGCTTAGAGACTGAATTGGATTGAATACCGAGGTGCCTCGAAGCCGAAGTGAGCCTTATGCCGAGGTGACTGAATATCCGATCTCAATTGTTGCGAACTAAACTTGTCAGTCTGAGTTGTCATCTCTTGGTCAGGTCGTGTCCACGTGTCCCCTTTTTTCTAGGTCGGGCCATATCACCCTTCATCAATTACCCCCCACTCCCCGAGCCAGGGGTCTCAACCCGGTGCCGGGAGTTCATGACAAGTCTAGGTGGATTTGGCACGAGGTCTAGGCGGTTCGACGGACAAATCATTAGTCGGACCATCTCGGCTGCTTGGCTCAACCAAGAACAACCTAGGTCGCATCAGGTGTACGCGCGGACATAAAGCTGTTTTATAAACTCCCCGGACGTCATAACGGGCGCTAAACCGATTTCAACCTCGGGGGTTGTGCAACCGGTTTTCCTAGGAGTCGTTGGATCATAACGATCTCGACTGTTGATTCCCGGATACAATGGCTATAAATAGGGGCAAGGAACTCATTTTCTTCGCCACAAGTCCGATAATTCACATTCTGAGGTCGCGCTCGAGTCCTTCAGTTCGGCGTCTTCCCAAGGTCATCTTCCTTTCTTCAGTTCGGTCTCTCTTTTGGTGAGTCTCCCTTAGCTCTCTTTTTCGATTCCGCGTGTTCCATTATGTCTAGCTTTAGTTTCAATAGCCTTTTATACGGGAGCGGTGAATCCGCTGGAGCCGAGGTAGCTCAGGTCGTATAGGTCTTCGTCCTGCTAAGGAAGTTAC